CCTCCAGAGTTGGGGTCTGGATCACATCTACGCTCTCTGTGTGTAGATTTTACATGTTCTGCTTGTGTTGCATGGTCTTCCTGCAGTTACACTGCATTCCTGCTGCAGTCCAAAGGTATCTCCTTATTGGCCATAGTGTATAAGCGTGTGAAGAAGTTTGTACATGAATGCGCCCTGAAATGGACAGGCATTGCAATGTGAGTTACTCCAAGTTTGTGCCCTGCACTACCCTCGAATAGGCTCCATGCCCCCAAGACTTTCGCCATGATAGGCAGTTGGAAGATGGATGGATTGATGGATATTTCTTCCAGCAAGGAGTCGTATTTCTATGGATTCGGGAGCAATAGGTGGAGGAATGCACTAATAGCTGAGCAGAGACACAAGATTTTGCTCTGCTCACCCAGCTCTCAACACATGGCTCGTGGTCCACAAGTAACCATAGACCATAAATCCAGAAGCAAAAACCTACAACACACAGTAGAGCAGAAAGCCATTTATAAAGAGCCAACAAGCACCGGCAGTCGCTGTGTTACAGATGGACCTGAATCAGAGGAATCTTGGTGAGGTTCTCACATGGCAGGCTAAGAGCAGGACAAGAGCGCCTCCTGCAGTCTTGGTACAGCGAAAGTCAGAATAAAGCCACAGTAGCTCACAAGGCACATTCACTCACTGGCTAAGCTTCCATTCAAGTATTCAATAGGCTAAACAGCAATCTGTCATACAACTGTTGCTCATGGACTTTTCTGTTCTGTTTTCTGTTTGTGGTCAGCAGATGTGGCACTGGATTATGGCTGAGGGACTCCATTGCCACGCCTCTCCACCCATCATGCTCTATGCAGTTGTAATTCTTCTTTACCATCCTTATTCTCCTCAGCCCGTACCTCCTTCTCACATCCAGTTATTATGCTTTTAATGTTTTTAATAAAGCACGATTGATCACCTACATTTTCTTCCTCGACTGCTATCATTTTCTTTTGCTGCCTTTCCTTCTAGTTCTTCTAGTCTTTCCTTCTCATTTCTCTCACTTCTCACCTCTGTATTCTGACCCCAAACTCATTCTGTCTTCCACTCTTTTTTATTCTACCAGTTTGTTTCCTAAGGTTATGAGTGTTGGGATTTATTACTGTTGAATGTGCCTCTCTCTCTCTCTCTCTTTCTCTCTCTCTCTCTCCCTCCTTCTTATCATTTGGCTGTTCCTCTGATCATGTATCCCTACTTATTGCCCCAGGCTAATCTATGAAACAATATGGAAGTATTTCAACCTCTTTAAAACCCCAACATCTCTGACCTCAGTATCCACTTGCTTCATTTACCCTTGACTCTCAGCTCTTAGCACAAACATACACATATTATGTAAAGATATGTTTGTAGAGCCTACCTGCTGATAAAACCATTTTAATGTTATTAAAATAAATGTCTCCACAACTGTTTTTCTGCAGCTCTAGTCTTCTTTTGATGTTTTATCAAAATTTATCATGAATACATACACTGCGGGAAACAGTGGCTTTGCACACTCCGATGCTTAACCAAAAGCGATTTTTGATTCATCAGGTCAATGACAGTCATCACAACAGGCAAGTGATGGAAAAAAATCCCTCCTTGATGCACATAAAGAGACTGTTGGCTTTTTCTTAGGCTTACTGTACTGCCTTGCTGTCAGTTATTAATAATGTTATTGCTAATAAACAACATCAATGCATACATTAGCTTTTCTTGTTGCTCCTTTGATCTGAGGTTAAAGCAGGAGACAGAAGGAAATCCTCACAGCATTTTCTTTTGGTTAAAATGAAATTCCGATGAATACAGGAAGAGGCTATCACAGTCAAGAAAGAGTCAAAGTTAGGGATGGAGACTGATCTTTCAAATGACCATCAGTCACGTAGCCATGTGTTAAATCAATGGGTCTAAATGCTCCTCGAAACCCCCCCTGTCACAGGCCCTCGCTCAGCGAAATTTTCTGCTGTGTGTTCAGGACTGTGCCATAAGTCTTGGAGGTTTGTATACATTTGTATGCAAGTGCTTTCAGTACTAGAGATACGTGACCCTTATCCACCATTATATCCCATCAGCAGGATTTTTGGCTTGTGGTTATACAGTATATATTTACGTTATACAGAACACGCTTATTAACTACTTGCACTGCTTGGAATTTGGTATTAGTGAATTTTAACAGATTTAACCCCACAATTTACAGAAAAACCAAAGTTTTCTCTCAGAATAGGGCCAGCATTGTTTTCTGTGGTAAACACCTCCCCCTGCTGGAGAAACAAAGTACACTCACAACCAGCACACCGTAGTCTAGTGATATATGGCTCTAGTCTTAGCGATATTAACCCATTAGTGTATTTGCCCCATTGTGCATTTAATTGACAGAATATATTAATTAATAGGCCTAATTATTACAAACAAAGATAACCTGAAATTCGAAGGGGTGTGCATTGTCCCCCAGAGTCCACTGACGAATGCACACTTCACAGGACATGCCTGCGTCATTTGGTTTAAAAGGTATTAATCTATTTGTGCATTGCCCATCGCATATTACATTTATACAATATATTAATTAATAGCTATTACAGATAAAAAAATATCCAGAAAAGCTAAGGGCTGCCAAAGAACCAAGAGGTTGCATTGTTCCCTTGAGTCCACTGATCAAAGCAGACTTCACTAGATGTGCCTGTCTTGTCTACTTTTAAAGTTATTAATCCATTTATGTATTGTCTCATTGGACATTATGTGCATACATGTGAACATTCAAAAATTAATTAAAATTTGTCTGTGAAGAAATCTCGAAAACCAAGGGGTGTGGAACAGTTGCCATGAACCCAGAATGCTAAATCAATACACTATTTGGTGTTGATGTCCCAGCAGATTCAATAATTATCACATTTCATGTTTGGCTTCATATTTGTCAAGCCAGTATGAAAGTATAATTTCACTAAATTGTCAATTTATTAGGCGCTTTCACACCAAAGTTCCGGAACCTGGTCCAGGCTTACAAGCCTCATGGGAGTTATACTTCCACAAAAATGTTCTGACTGAGTGTAGAGTGAAAAATGATTGGTTCAGAGAGTTAACCAATCAGGTTGCAGAGGAGGTGGGTCCAACCAACTAAAGGAGGCGGGACAAAGACATCTTATTGATTGATCTTGCCTCTTCTAGTTCCTTGGATTTCGGTAGATTCCAATTACCGTAATGGGCACCGAGAGGTCAATTAACAGATTAGGGGAAAAAGGACCAAATACTAAGGGAAACAAAACTAGGACAACCGAATGAACAGGAAACAAGACGCAAGACAATAAACTGAATAAATTGAAATGTCCAGGTGCGTGTTGGGCTCCGCCAGGGCTGCCCTTTGTCATCGGTCCTGTTTATCATATTTATGGACAGGATTTCTAGGCGCAGCCAAGGCGTCGAGGGTGTCCAGTTTGGTGACCTCAGGATTGCCTCGCTGCTTTTTGCAGATGATGTCGTCCTGCTGGCTTCATCTGCTGGGGATCTCCAGCAGGCACTGGGGCGGTTCGCAGCCGAGTGCGAAGCGGCAGGGATGAGGATTAGCACCTCCAAGTCCGAGACCATGGTTCTCAGCCGGAAACGGGTGGTTTGCCCTCTTCAGGTTGGGGAAGACGTACTGCCTCAAGTGGAGGAGTTTAAGTATCTCGGGGTCTTGTTCTCGAGTGAGGGTAGGCGAGATCGGGAGCTGGATAGACGGATCGGAGCAGCGTCTGCAGTTCTGCAGGCGCTTAACCGGTCCGTCGTGGCTAAGAAAGAACTGAGCCAAAAAGCCAAGCTCTCGATCTATTGGTCCATCTTTGTCCCTACCCTCACCTATGGTCATGAGCTATGGGTAATGACCGAAAGAACGAGATCGCGAATACAAGTGGCCGAAATGAGGTTTCTCCGCAGGGTGTCTGGGCTCTCCCTTAGGGATAGGGTGAGAAGTTCGGATATCCGGGAGGGCCTCAGAGTAGAACCGCTGCTTCTTCACGTTGAAAGGAGCCAGTTGAGGTGGTTTGGACATCTGGTGCGGATGCCTCCTGGGCGGCTACCCGGAGAGGTTTTCCGTGCATGTCCTACAGGGAGGAGGCCCCGGGGCAGGCCCAGGACTCGCTGGAGGGATTATATCTCTCGGCTGGCCTGGGAACGCCTCGGTGTCCCCCCCGAGGAGCTGGTGGGGTTAGCTGGGGAGAGGGAGGTCTGGGTGCCTCTACTGAAGCTGCTACCCCCGCGACCCGAACCCCGGACAAGCGGCAGATGATGGATGGATGGATGGATACTAGAATAGATTTACATGCTTCAATGTTCCAAAAGCACATTATGTTTCTTATACTTTACATCTCTACTCAATCTGTCTATGACTATCTAAAATGCTCGATTAGAGCTTCAAGCCCTACCCCTGACGAGCCCAGTGTGCTCTGATTGGTCAGCTTGCCCTATAATTCCCGCCCTTGTCTTGCAGTCTGCTTGTAGGTAGATGGCCAATAAGGATTGTACGACGAGGTGACCTAACCATGTCATGGAAGAAGGGCTGGAATTCCAATGAGGCATTTCAGTCAGATTAGAGAAGAGTGGTTTTTGTTGTGAGAATTCCTAACTTTGGCATATGCTTTGGGCCTTGAGACTTTGCAGACTGTTTACATGCATACAAAGCTATATCATCATGGTCATGGTAACAGAAAAGGAAAAACCCAGAAAAGCACAACAGGGTCCCTTTAAGTTCAGTACTTGTACTAGCTTGAGCTTCTGCACTTTTGTAACTAATGTCAATCCCTCCCTTTGTCACTTCCTGTTGCCACACTGTGGTTCTGGGTGAATGTGATTGTAAATGTGTATACAGACTTTATGGCAATAAAGTGTGACACGATATTTGTGCTTTTGAAGTTCCAAGGATGAATGTTAATATGAAATTAAGATCCTTGTTTTCACTGTTTCAATGTTAGCACAATGCACATTAACACACAAAGCAATACACTTCCCCCTGAAAGACTAGAGAACACATTGGATAAAATGCTTATTTATTTATTTATTTTTTTCCTGATGATAGCAAAGTGTTTTCTGTCATTTGCAATTGACAGTGAAAGTAGGAAGGGTTAGAGATTAGAACTGGACAGAAAAAATAAAATGAATTCAAGGAACGGAGTTGAGGAAAAAGATGGTGGCATGTGCAAGCATTCAAAATCATTAGCACTAGGCAGGTATGGTTTTAGGTTTCAGTATTCTTGTGTGGAAGGAAGGGTATGTTTGTTGATAAAAGTTAGGTAGTCGGGGACATTGGCAAAGTATGCTGGGAAGACTTTCGCATTGCAATCTGTTACAAAGTTCGCAATTCCAGCCTGAATCCAGCTCTTTCTAAGGTAACACATCAGAGGCCCACCTGAGTCTCCCTGTAAACACAAGCACACACACTGCTTATACATTTGTTCTCCTTCCAGTGTTATAAACAGCTAGAACTGCTACTTGTTCTATTCTGGCTTAAAGTTCATTGCATTCTACATGAGGATTGCATGGATACAGTATTAGGACAAGCTACATTTTCTTAATCTTACCATATAAACAAGTTTTCCAGATTCACCCGCACAAATAAATCTCTTCAAGTTACACTTGCCAAGTGGAATGTTGAGTTCCTGCAGTGTCTTTGGATACTCTAAATGGGCTACAAAAAGATAAATGTATGTCATATGAAGTCCATTTGCACTGCATTACAAGAGGGGTGTTAGGTTGTTCTGGAAAAATGGCAGCAGGAGGTGTACTGTATATGGTATGGAAGAAAGATATAAGATGGACTGTTGAATAAAGATGGAGTGGAAGGAGCTGAGCAGGGTTCAGAGATTTAGAAATGTGTTACCTACAGACAGACAGTCAGGCCACATAGACTGTAGGACATTATGGAGCAGCATTTACAAACAGTATCTGATTGGAGGAAAATATAAACATGACAGAACATGATGGATCATGAACAAACAGAGCAAACAAAGCAGGTAACATTTGGTCAGGTGACCGGCCTTTTTAAAAGGGCAACTGCTCTGGGAGACAGAGGTGGTCAGATGGAGGCTTTTGGGGTTTCTTGCGGAATCTAGCATTCAAATGACACCCAGCTGGCATGTTAGTTGGATCCATAAACCTCATCATTCTCCCAACATAGTTGAAGTATAAGGAAATTACTGGAAAACATATCAACTGTAGGGAAGGCTGTCCTCATAAACACAGGGTGTAATATTGATTGATTGTTTCTGGATTAATTTATAGGTACAGGGTTTATTTAGAGGTGCAGTTTCATAGCCTCTACTGTCCATTTTTATTATTAATAGACAGAAAAAATACAGAATGGGATATATGAGAAGACACAGTAGAACACACAAATAATGTAAAACAGCAAACTCACTGTTACATCCTGTCCGTCCCCAGCCGATCGCAAAGCAGTTTAACTGAGTACCAAAGGAATCAGAGGACTGGGCCAAAAGGACGGGTGTAATGTAGCGGGAAAAGGTGATATTTCTGTTCACATTCACCAGGGCAACATCGTCGTGTTTGTCACTGACATTATAGTCAGGATGGATGATCACTCTGCTAATAGTATAATTGGCTTCATTTGCAGACGGTATGTCCAGCTTGTATGCTCCCAGCCTCACATAGGACTTTTCATGGATCAAAGCTTTACTGAATAAGAAAACCAAAAAACATGTGACAGTGATTTTTTTTTTTTTGGCAATTTTGTTTTAAAAGAAGCTTTTTTACTTCGTAGTGGTATTATAACTTTTTACAGGATTATTACTACAATATTTTCATTTTAATACAATTTCTACAATTTAATAATTAGCTCACTCTTCAACGCAATGGGCAGCAGTCAGGATCCATCTGTTATTGATGATAGAACCACCACAAGACGAGATCCTTTTAGGGGCTTCAATATGCAGATAAGCCATCCAGGGCCAGGCCCCCTCCTTAGCATCATGGCCACCAATGATTGAACTCTTCATCTCTTCCATCCTGGATCCTGAATAACAGCCAGCAGAGTTCTCAATGCAAAAGGCATACATTTTTTTTTAAAAAATCACGAAAGTCTCCCCATCTGCTGTTGAACTGCAATGCTATTATTCATTATTTATTTATAAAGCACTTGTCACTGACATGTAGTCACAAAGGGCTGTACAACAAAATAAATATAAAGGACTAAACGAGAAATATTAAAAATAAATAAATATTTACAATACAATCAATATCAATAAAAATCTACACAAAAGCCTGATTAAACGAGAAAGTTTTTAACTTTTTTTAAAGGAATCCACGGAGTCTGTCAAACGTAAGTGCAGCGGGAGATTATTCCAAAGCCTCGGAGCCACAGACTGAAATGTCACGTCGTGCGGGAACGGAGCAGGAACAGAAGAGAGAGAACAGACAGGAAGTCCGGATAGTCGGGGAATACATAAAACAAAAGACAGACTGCAAACCAGCACTAAAGACTTCAATGACAGACCTAGGGAAAAGGACTCGATCGCGACTGAAATACGCAGGACTAATCAGGAATAACACGAAACATCTGATAATCTGGGTTTCATACGAGGTAACGAGGGGGGCGTGGCACACGGAAGGATTGTACGAGCAGGTTATGAAATGGCTTTACGTACCCCCCCC